TGCTTCTCAAGCTGGGCTCTGAGCATTAAACAAAAGTCGGAAAAGAGCAGCAGTACTAAAAAGCTGAAATAAAAGTACTGGATATGGCATACTATGCATGTTAACAAGTTAATGTGCAAACATGCGGTGCAATAAAAGATAGCCCATGGATTTATTACAGGATGCAGCTGGGAGTCTCACTACTGTTAAAAAAAAAATTACCAGGGAAAGAATATTTCATCCCAAAAAAGTAATGTCCTGACAGTAAGGTGTTGCTACTCCTAACATTAACACAGTGGTGAACCAAACTAACAAAAAGTTCATTTTGAAGGACTTACCTAGGCGTGTAAGTAGAACCTGCATTTTGGCAATTTTACCTACCAATCTACCATGTAACAATTAATATTCAGACTTGCTGACCCAACAACATAAAGACAATGAATTAGCGATTTGTTTTAGGCTACAGCAACGAGGCACTGTGCCAGTACAGATGACATGATTGTTTCAGATCAGCGAGTGACACGATGCGGATTTAAAAGTCATCTTTTGGTTTTGATGAGAACAAAAGAATTTTGATGTGGTCCAGTAAGCCTCAAAACTTTCCAACGCTCCTCTTGCCTTTAGGAGACTGCATATTTTCACATGCAGATATACACAGGTTTATACAAAAACAGTAACAGGACGCTAAAAACAGGCCATTCTAAAAAAATACAAATCAAAATCCTTCACTTTTTTTTTCCCCCACCAAATCAAAGAACAGATTGATATAAAAACCCACACATTATGAGACTCAAAATTCTAACCCTGTAGTTCCTTTCTAGCAGTAACTACTGTCTATGATAAACACTGTTCTTAGAATCATAGAATCATGGAATGGTTTGGGTTGGAAGGGACCTCAAAGACCATCTTGTTCCAACCCCCCTGCCATGGGCAGGGAGACCCTCCACTACACCAGGTTGCCCAAAGCCTCATCCAGCCTGGCCTTGAACACTTCCAGGGATGCAGCATCCACAACTTCTCTAGGCAACCTGTGCCAGTGCCTCACCACCCTCAGAGGGAAGAATTTCTTCCTTATATCTAATCTAAATCTCCCCTCTTTCAGTTTAAATCCATTGCCCCTTGTCCTATCACTACACACCCTTGTAAAAAGTCCCTCCCCAGCTTTCCTGTAGGCTCCCATTAAGTACTGGAAGGCTGCTAGAAGATCACCCCATCATAAGGTGTGCAGCTTTGTTACTGGCTAACTGGTGCACATTCTTTTAATTACTTTATGACTATGGAATATCAGAAAAAAGCTCCCTGACCTCATTCGGTCACACGATGAATGCATGTTTGATGAAATCAGTTTTCTGTGAGAAAGCAAAAATAACCTCCAACAACTGAAAAACCCTGAGGAGGCACAGAAACCTTGTTTTGTTATCCCTGTGAAACATTTTACGGCAATTTCTGTTTACTCGCATGACAAAACAAAGCCAGAGGAGTGCTTACTTTTCCAAGGGGTCAGTCATTTTTGCCAAATTCTTATGGAAGCGTAAGGCTTGAATGTCTTGTGTCTCTATTTTAGGAGGCAGAAGTCCTTGCAACCCAAGCATCTGTCGCTCATGTAACGTAAAGGCCATACCCTGAAAACAAGAGAGGTGAGAAATAATTAGCAGCTCTTCCTCTAGCATTTGTGATGTATTTCTGCTTGCCATTTCCGACTATCCACCGCATCCTTTTCTCACGGCGGGTGCCACGGCAGGCAAGGTTTGGATATATTTGCCTCTGATGGGGTTCTCCTCATCCTTTGTGGGCATCCCTTGTGACCACAGCTTTTCCACAGCTCTCAGCCCTCGTGCTGTTTGCCAGATTTCATATTCCTCCTTCCTCAAGAGACGCCACTGCAGACAGGCTAAAGTTTAGAAGTCAAGTAACAGCTGCTTCTTCAATCATTTCACAGGAACTTAAAATTTACCAAGAACATGTGGGTCACCCAGTCTGGTCCCTACAATCACAGACAGTAACATTTAGTCCAGAGAGCTTGCACTGAATTGCTCCATTTGCTGTTTTTTTCTACATACTGTAGAAAACTGTAACGGTCTACTACCAAAAAGCCTCATTTGTAACAAATTAAGTTTCAGAAGAGTTAAACCAGAAAAATATCCCACCATTTCCATTCTTCTCCGTTTCAGGGTGGTTGAAGAGTTTGATTTATTGTTATTTAAGTACTAATTTGAATTATTTAACGGTACCATTCAATAAAACTGGCTTTTCACTTACTACACGTAATAGCCTGCTGTGAGCTACCTGTTGGTGGAGAGATCTCCAAGGGGTAGCTAACTCCTGGGAGTAATTTTACAAGATGTTAACTGATCCAAGTCCGGATTCACAGCCAACCTGGCTCAAAGTGCTGACCCCATTTCCGACAATTAACCCCACTTTAAGTTTGTCACTTCTGGAAGATCAATGATAAACTTTCCTTATTTCAGTTTATCCAAGTGGGTCAGTTCGGTGAATGATTAAATGAGTATTTAATTTTAATTCACTCATTAATGAGTGAATGCAGGAGCTGAAAATCCAGGAAAGCCTTTGTTGTGCCAAAGCTGTGCATCCATCTGTGAGCAAAAGCAGAATCTCAAAGGGAAAGGTCTGCTAGCTGTAATGTTTTGAAAGAGATGGAAACAAGAAACATCAGTTCTGCTCACAAACAACACCTCCTTTGTTTACTAAAGCAGCTAGATTAAAAAACAAGAACATATTTTCTCAAATTTCCCCACGCTGGAAGCAGCTTCTTACTGCCAAGTTAAAAAAAAAAAAAAAAGTTTAAAAAAGCTTTTTAAAGTTTGGTTTATGCCTTGTAATTACATTCCAAATTCCTTCTCCAATCAGAAAACCCACAAAATTACTATTTTCCCAAATTAGAGTAAAAAATCCATAAATTAAGATTATATATTTTTCACCTCTGCTTATGTTTGAATAGACTTTCAGAGGTATCTGTAGAAAGCATGCCCATTAACACGAAATCTCTGGTTTAGTGGCTACACTTAGTGTAATTCACTAAGTATACTTAGTGATACTTTGCAATACTTGAATGGTTTATGACCAACACAACTACTCCTTAGGAAAAAACATAATTAAAATAATTAATAATTTTTATATATTTTTTCTCTTTGCTCATTTAAATAACATTTAACATCAGTTGTTCTGAGTACACTGATTTAAGCAGTCCACCTGCTTTTCTGTACTAATTCTATATCATGTTTTAAAGTAATAAAATATTTGAAGAGTTAAAAAGCAAGCTACTCTAGTTCGAGAAAAAAACCAATGAAAAACTTCAGCATTTGAAAAAAATTGTAAGTATTTAACCCTAAAATAGATCAATGCTTTATGCTTCTGACAACTTTCCATGCAATAAATTTGACATCAAATACTCATTTCATCCTTTTTCTATTATCTGAGTCATTCACAAACCCTATTTTTCCTCAAACTATTGTTATTCTCAAGTATTCTTCCAATATTATCTGCAAATAAATTTCAGATGACGGATTATTCCTGACCTTTTTACCTTTGCTGCTTGTCTTCTGCTAGGTGTAACAGTCACTTTAGCCACGTGATAATTTTTTCTGAAAACTGATTTGAATAACCCAAAATTTCTATGGAGAACACAACCAGTAAACAGCACTGGCATGAGAAAAAAAACCCCACGAGCAACATACACAGAATGCTGGGTTTTTTTTTTCTTATATTGCAAAGAATCTACTTCAGTTTCCTATCTACATACTTGGTAAGAAACACTCAAAAGATTCTCTGGAGATGTAAACCCATCTTCCAAAGTTCCACAGAAGCGAACCACGCATCCACACATCTCGGCTATCTTCCCCTTTTCCTTAACTACCCCCTAAATTTGTTACCATCAGCAGTTTATGCCTTTTTAAAACAGCAGTTTCTCAACACAAACCGTACTTGCAGCGCAAGCGATTTAGGACACGAAGCCGAGCACAGCCAGTAAACACGTGTAATATTTTGGCTGTTACTTTAGGCACTACAGAAACAAGAACGATGCCAAAAGATTTACGATGATAAGAAGGGGAAAAAAAAAGTTTAGTCTCTTTTCAGAAGACATATAAACACTGGTCAGTAAAGTCACCAGCGTCACCAGTTCAAGGCACATCAAAGGCCAGAATCCCTTCGGTGGTACCATACTGGCTACACTGACATTTTACTCTGAACTAGCTGAAATATCTCACTAGCACAACCTACATCCTCCCCACCAGAAGCTCTCATGTCCCTTAAAAAGCCTACCTCATTTCTAATTTCCTCTACCAGCACAGCACTGTGATATGGCTTTTCTTTAATTTCCCTGCACAGTGAAACCAGTGACCTTAAACTACCCCAGTCCTCAATAAAACCCGACGAGCCCTGGGGTTCGTACGAAGCAGAACAGCTACCCATCTTTATTCAGTTTATCCAGTTTTTCCACTCTGCAGGCAGCCTGTTTTTTCAGAGTATGTGGAGTTACAGTAACATTAAACACAGCGAATTCTTTAAGTGGCACTCAGTGCTTCCAGCTGTTTATTTATGTGACAATTAGATCCTACCACATTAATAGATGCTTTAATTTTTACCCAGGCCTAACTCAGGAGCCTGCATGCCATCCGCCTCCCTACAGAAATTTAATCCTTGTTCCAAATTGGACAGAACAAGTTTAGTCTAGAGCTGCACTATAAAAAACCCAGAGCCCTTCCAACACTTGTTGTATTCCCATTTCTTATCTTTGCCATGACCATTAGCTGCCTTTTGTTTTGGATTTGGGATTGCAGCTCCTTCTCCACCGAGCACCTTGCAGGATGGAGATTTTCCTTAAACTAGTGTGCCTAGGAGCTGCATTATTACAAAATTCCTAGCCTTTTCCCTCATTTTTTAGGCCCCGGTGCAGTTTCACAGAACCAGTGAAGCAGGAGGCACTCAGAAATCCGCAGTACTGGGACTGATGTTCTCAAAGGCACTTAAGATCCCAGCACCTACTCAAGGGCCAAATTCCCTCTGGTTTCCACTGGCATTAAATGCCTAAATATGATTTGGGCTTAAGTCACAGGGATCACCTTTCGGTTTCCTTTGACCCGCAATGCTAGGTGTCCTTTCTCTGAGCGTTATCCGTTGACTTTCACTTAGATTAGTTTCCTTAATCCTCTTTACAGCTCAGAAAAAGCACATGTGCTTTCCAAGACAGTAGAGGCAAAGCAGGGAGTCCATCTTGGAGAAAACCCATCACACTTCAAAGTACACAAATGAATTAATACACATGGAGAAATATACTGCAACAAAACCAAGCTACTGCCGTGGAGGGGAAAAAGAAAAGGCAAATAAAACAAAGCGTTGATAGTTTTTTAGTTAAGACCAGCCCACATTGAATCACCATGTACTGTGCCTTTAATCCACAAACCATCCGGCAGTGGAACCTCACTTTAGCCCTAACAGCTGGGCTCTAACACATAAAGTGCTATAAATATCAGCATATGAAAATTCTAATTGCCTGCTTTGCATGAAGGTGGACAGGAGACCTGAACCCTGCAAGCATGATTTTTATAGCACCAGTGAGTAAGTAATACTGAGAGGTTTCTAAGCAGAGAAGTACTGACAGTGACAATTTTTAACCCCACCTGCACAGTCTTGCAGGCATATATATAACAGGGGATCCTTTTACCCGATACCGTAAATACGCCCAAGTGTTCTGAAAATCTGTACATTTTGTAACAAATAACCCATCTGAAGCCCCTGATAAAGATGTAAATGCAGAATATATCCAATCATGTCACTGTTTGGAAAACGAGAGTCAGCCTAGTTCACAGGGAAGATTTAATCAAACGGTTTTCATGTCACTTCTAATCGTTACACCGTATTCAGCAGTATATGGTAGGCTTCGAAGTAGCATTGTGAACATTTTCAAAATAAAGTAGATTGTGCACTGGGTTGTGGGCTGCTTCTCTTAACTCTGATTCCTTTCGCTAAATCACAAAGTTCGTTATTGCACAACACGTCTCCACTGCAAATTAATAAAGTTCACTCATACGAATCAAAGCTGTACTTGCTTTCTCAACCATAGATTCAAAGTTCCTCTGTGTTTATGAGAACAGTGTAGAATACGGAAATCTCCTTTGATTTATTTCCTCCTTCATTTTTTACACTCAATTTCATATCTTTATTCTTCCAAAACCAGCACAGTATATACACTGGAGGGTATGGCTGACACAGCACAGCCATCTATCTACTTGCTGCTCAACTGTGAAATGACCCAGACCTTCCCCAGCTTATTAAGCCTTTGAAGACCCTGGTCTCTCTGCAGGCAAAGATGCCACCAGTTCTTGTACCACCTCAGAAACAGAAAGCCCTTACACACCAGCAAAGGAAGTCATCCACCCTCTCCAGGGTTGGTTTCCAACCACCAACGGTTGTGGTGAAGCTGTACATTGCAAATCATGAACATGATGACTGAAATGGTTCATCTACCTCATAGAGCACCACTGAACACCTCAGAGACATTTCATTAAACTGTTATTTTTCTAATTGAACAGATGCCATTGATTTTGTTCTCCTTTAATGGCATTAATCTTACAATAAAAAATAAAAAAAAAAAAAAACGAAA